GTACAGCCTGAGCCTGGAGAGCCAGTTTGGACTGGGTAGCACTGGGAGACCAGGAGAACTGTTCTGACATGTTCTGTGGGTTGGTGAACTTGCTTTGTGTGCAGGTGGTGAGTGCCACTGCTGCATTTGCTTTCCAGCAGCTTGGTGACAGGCTTCTTCCCTTGTGTGCATAAACCTGGGTGTGGGTTAATGGACAAACTAAGGGCTAACCCCCACAGTCCCACCCGGGTGGGAGCGCACTCCCAGTACATGGCACAGGAGGGATCCCGCAGGGGTCTGCCACCTTCTGCTTTCAGGTCAGGCTTGTGTCTGGCCCTGCATGCTGTTCTGAAGGAGAAGATGTCTATCAAAACAGCATTGCTCTTCTTATATCCTCAAAAAGGGCAATTCAGTGAGGAATTGAGAGGCAGGACAGAGAAAAGTATTGTTCTATCTAAACCTGTTTGCAGGGATCTGCAGCTGGTTAAATTGCAGGTATGTCTTCAAAACTGGAGGTCAGCAGGTTCTCATGCAGGTGTAGGAGTAGACTGAATTTATTCTGTTTATTGCCTTCTGTTTATAAATGGCTGCCTCTTTTCATTCAGTAAACAGTTGAAAGAATGCTTTTGATCCTGCAGTCTTCCTTCCACACATCCACACCTTCTGTAGTTGTTCAACCGTCTCTGGGGCAACCTTCACACAGAAGGATGATGTTTGTGTGAAGTCTTTGAAGGAAGGTCCCCTCTTGTCACCTCTGCTTACCTAGAATAAGCTTTCAGGTTCAGCGCTGAAATGAAACCATCTGGGAGAAAATCTCCCAATAAAACACTCTTAATTTAAAGATGTTGCACATTTAAAATGTCTAGATCTTCTGTGGAAACACACTGGTTTCATCAAGATTTTCAAGTAATGCAGCTGAACTGTTTTAATCAAGTCAGCGTTCTTCCTTTCAACTTTATGTTATGGCTTTGATTGAAGTAAATCACTCTGACTATATTGTTTTGCAAAAATGTCAGAATTTATAACTTTTTGGCCCCAAACTGAATTGAAGTAAGTGTTTTGAAATCTTGTTTTGTTCTACCCACTTCCCTTGCCAGGAGACAGGAATATGATATTTTTCAGCCAGCTCTAGTTACAGTTCTGATGGTTGCTGCTGTTAGCCTTGGGCGTCCTGTCATACAGATACTGGTTTTGTCTGCAGTGAGAAGCATTCTCATTTCCTTCCCCAGTAAGTTGTGTGCCTGCAGTTCATGTTCATGTTCATTTGGACTCTGAATTTTTAAAGCTGATTTTCCATAAGGTGTCTTTGCTTTGCCTTTCCTAGAAATAATTTTTAAAGAAGGAATTGAAGAATAAGGAACTCCTTTGTGGTCTGACCATCCTCTGTTTACTGCTGATTTACCTCGCAGGTTTGCTTCTGTTGACTTGGAGGGTCTTGGTCCCAGTGCAGAGCATTGCCCCCCCCACCTTGCATGAGCACTCATGCTTTCTTAGGATGCACTGTATGCACAGGATTGACAACAGCTACTTTAATAGTGGCCCAGTACGACCCCACTGAAGCTAACAGGGTTATAGCACTTGAACCAAAAGAGAGTGGGATATGCAGCTCAGCAGGTTAGGAAACTTCACAAAGGACATAAATTGAAGCCTTCTGGGTCATGAAGCAATGCGTGAGGACTGGGGTGACACTTGGCTTATCTTGCTGTAGAGCTTTGTAAAGCTTTCAGCAGAGACTTTGAAAGACCTTTATTTTTAGGTGTGCAGGGCTTAATTTGTTGTGACATCCCACCCAACTGAGCAGCCAAAGTCAATGGCATTGAGAAGAGTGGGTGAAGGGCAGAGGTGAAAGTAAAAAGACCTGATACTCATTTAGGTCAAGCCCTTGCCTATTGTCTCAGTTGTGTAAAAGGATGTTAAAGAAAGCATTAAAATAGTTAATGGAAACAAATTATTGCAATAATATCTACTGGCGTTAAACTTCCCTATCCTCCAGAGAGGATGCATTTTTTCCCCTTGTGCTACAGACACCTTCATTTCACTGCTCCAGCTTTTGATGCCATTACCAAGCAATTAGCTGCTGTCTCCAGAGCATCATTTCAGCACTGGGGAAGGGCACAGATCCAGAGGCAGTTGCACATCGGCTGCGTGGGCTGGCAAGAGCACACACACTCTGTTTGGAGGGATGCTTTTTCTCAGTGGGGCTCGATAGTCGTGTCTGTGTGCTTCACTCAAAGCTGTTTTTCTCAGTGCCTGAAGTCGAGACTATTTCTTTGATATGCAAGTTTATGGGTTGGGAGGGGGAGTGATGGGTGTGGAGAACAGATGGAGAAAGCACAGGGAAAATGCAATGATTTAAAGGAATAAAAAAGAGATGCTTTTTTTGGAATCATTACACCAGAAACAAGGAGCCTCTGATGAAGGAAAGTAAGCCTAAGGTTAGGGAAGATTGTGGTCTTATCGACAGAAAAAAAAAAAAGGGATTATAAGGATTCCAGCCTTATCTGTTGGAGCTTGGTAGCTTGAGAAACCAAATGTTGAGAGATGTGAAAAGGATCAAAAGAGAAAGAGTACAGAGGGGCTGAATGAGGCATTGAGCAGAGAGGGTGAGAGGCGGGGAGCCAGGACAGGGCTCACTGTGGGAGAGGGGCCATGAGCTCTCCGGGCCTCTCCGTGGGCGAGGGGCAAGGGAGCAAGGAGAGGAACAGAGAGAAAACTGGAGGTGACCTGAATGAGCCAGCAAAGCCTTGGACAAAAAGGGGGTGCAGATGAGGATGGGAGGAGGTAACTGTACAGGGAAGGACAAGAACAGGACTGTGCTACGTTAAACCTTCAGCTGTGCTTGAACTTTCAGGCATGCCAGATACCAAGTGTGACTGGCTTTCTGCTTCTTGCTTCAGGATACGAGGTAATTTGGAGGTTTCTTCTTGAGACTTCACATTTATGCCTGAGGAGTGCTTGTTTTGGGAAGCCTGAACGTACAAGCAGGGCAGGCAAACACTGTTCACGGGGGTGTCCTGCTCCCATGGTCAGGGAGTGGGCCAGGGCAGAGCAGTGCTCAGAGGCTGAAGCATTAAAGCCAGGAGGTGCCAATGGGAGGGGATAGTGACAAAATCCTGTTGGAGGACCCTTATAGAAGCAGCTTATCTTTAACTGCCCTTCCATTCATTATTTCCCAGCTAAAGCTATGTAATAATTATAAATTTGGATTACCTAGAAAAGCTGCTGAAAGTAGGATAGATTATTAATTCCCACGCTGGATTCTGAAGAATTAATTTCAGCACCACATATTGAAAAGTCTGCTTCATAGGAAATATCCTAGTTTTGAGAGCATCTCTGAAAAAGTGAGATTCTTCCAGGCCATTATTATACTTTCTGACAATTTTATTTTTTCTTCAAAAAGTATCCTTTAGCATACTCAACTAATAAACCTAAATTAGCAATAGAAAATGTACAGTTGTAAGAATCGTATCTCTGTACAACGTACTGAAGCAATTCAAATTCCAGGGCAGAGCTGTGGAAACTCTTAGCACAGTGTGTCCATATCTTATCAGAACAGGCACGCTTTTCCCATGGCCTGGCCGCCTTCCAGCAGTGCCGAAGCAGACGTGTTGGAAGCCCAGATTGAATGGGAGAAGTGATCTTTCTGAATGGATTTTCTGGCAGGATTCCTGTTGCGTGTGTGGTTTATTGTTCTTGGTGATGTGACTACATTTTACCCCTTAGATAAACGTTTTAGGGTCTTTATTTTTTTGATGATGGGAGGAGTTCTGGAAAAATTATCAGATCACTAATTCTATAAAATTCTATAGGCAAACTTTTTTCTGTTTTAACTACTATTCCTTGTTTATTGTGTGGCTTTTTGAGCATGCTTTTCATATAAAGGGCAATAGCTAAATTACTTTGACTCTTAAACTTTTCTATGGTCAAAGGGTTTAGTAATTAAAAAGCAAATGACTTTCTTTATCTCAGTGCATTTTAACAAAGTATTATTATGCCAATTCATGTATTTGTTTTTGTATCTATACACACACACACACACATATATATATATGTATGTGTCCTGTTCACAGTGTAGTAATTCACTATAAAGTATTAGTGGTGCTATCAAAGATAAAAGACGATGTTGCCGGTGGTGAAATACCCTCAGCTGGTGTAGATGTCCACCTCAGTTAACAGCAGGGAAGTCAGAGTCGTACCCCTGTGTGCACCACAGGCCTGCTGTGGAGCTGTGCCAGCTGCTGGGAGCTGAGGATCCGGCCTCTTAATACGTATTACAGGATAGCTGTAATACAATGTTTAACCACACAGTAACCACAATATACAAAGAAGTTCTATTTTAGCACTGTTGGGGTAAAAAAAAAAGCCCTGTTAATGTCAAAGACTGAAGTACAGAAGTTTGCTAAGTGGGGGAAGGAGGCAGAAAAAAACCTTCCTTTTCTTTTGAGTTAATATGTGTACAGGCGAATTCTCACGTCTCAAGGTTATGTTTTGTCTAATAAAGGTCTTTCAGGTTTGGGTTTTTATAATTAAAGCATAAAGAATAATTATCTTAAACTTACATCTGCAGAGGAAGAGCTGTGTATTTACTTATTATCTGCCAAAAAATCTTTCTCTTTTTAGCTAGAAAGAATGATTAACAAAAAGGCATTGAAGTATAAAGGCTTTCTTTTTATTTAAATATATGTACATTTTGTGAACAGATTCAAAAGAGAACACACAGCTTTTTATTTTTCCTTCTCTTTCTTTCTTTTTCAAAATGGGGGTGGGGAGAAGCACGCAACTCCCAAATTTAGTGCCTCCAATGCTTGAAAGACATTATGATTAATTTCGTACTTAGGTTTCCAGATGTTGGATTTTGTTCCAACTTTTAAAGATCTCTAATGCTTAACAGGATATGTGCTGAGTATAGTCTTTAACAGAGTTTTCTTTCATAACTCTAGGATCTATGAGGAAAGGTAACTTGGGAAAACACTGCAGATTCGACCCTGAATCTACAGCCTTCTAGGAAAAAAGAACATTAGATGTGCAAGTTCGCCCTGGAGGTGTATTTGTTTGGGAAGACTATGGATAGGTACCAGAGCTGGCAGCAGAGCTGTTTGAACGCCATCCTCCTGGTGCTGCTGTGGACCCACATTTCCCGCGCGCAAAGGGACTGCACGGGCGCGGAGTGCCAGCCCCTGGACAACTGCATCGAGGACGTGCTGGAGCCCGGGGAGTGCTGTGCCACGTGTCTGCAGCACGGCTGCACGTGCGAAGGCTACCAGTACTACGACTGCGTCAACGTGGGCTTTATCAACGGCAAAGTACCCGAAGGGCAGTCTTACTTTGTGGACTTTGGAAGCACTGAGTGCTCGTGCCCCAAGGGAGGAGGCAAGATCAGCTGCCAGTTCATGCTGTGCCCAGAGCTGCCCCCAAACTGCATTGATGCGGTGGTGCCAGCTGACGGGTGTCCTCAGTGTGGGAGAATAGGTTGCCTCCACGAGGGCCAGAAGTACGTAGCAGGGCACACCTTCCACATGCCCCCCTGCAAGGTTTGCCATTGCCCCAACGCTGGTGGTGAGCTGATGTGCTACCAGCTCCCAGACTGTAACACCTTCGCCTTGAACACTGCAAATCCAATAGATGCTGAAGATAATGAACCAGAGAGGCACTATGACGATCCCTACAGCTATGACCAGGAGGCACCAGAAGGAGACAACACCCAGGTGGAGTCTCCAAAAAAGTACAGGAGTTATTCTTCCCACCTAGAGCAAGAGAGCATCAGCCAAGAGCAAAGTGAGGATTATGACTACCTCCCAGCCAGCGTTGGTCCTTCAGCCTTGGCTCTGACTGATCCGTACACCGAGGAAACGGCTGCACCACTCACCACACCAGTGCCTAAGATCCCCTCTGAAGTTCGCAGTGCCACAGAAAGAAGTGAGCGAAAGAGAGTGCCCCGCACCACTGCAGCATCCCTCCAGCAAGCGACACATAAGGAAGCACCAGTGAGCACCACTGCTCCTCCGGAGCACACGACAGCCACCACTGAGGCAGCCAGGCACCTGGAGGAACTGGAGAGGAGACCAAGGGGGAAACAAGGGGACAAAGAGAGGCATGAGCAAGAAAGAGCCCCCCACTCTAAAATGAAAAAGCATGCCAGAAAAGAAGACCCAGGGAACAGCCTGCCTCTAGACTTGAAAGAGGTGAATTTAACAGAGCTAAGTTGGTCAAAACCTTCCCATGAAAGGCATGAGGGAAATGCTTTCCCCAAGGTAAAGTTCAGTGCAACAACTTCTCCTCCTGTGGCTCTCAAGGAAGATCGTAGTCGGTCATCCCAAAAACAGTCACAGACGCTTTATCGTTACCATCCTGAGGAAGACGGGGACCCCAACTCCATTCATGCTAACCCCAGGTTACCAGAAGGTAAGAACTATTTCCAGTGTAGATGCCTGGAGAATATTTACTCATAATAACATTGGTGCTTATCCACTCACCTTTTTTTCTTGTGGCTCCATGTAGGCATGAAATCAGGCAAACCTCCAGCTACCTTCTTTCATCTCTTTCAGAAGATGGTTTGTGTTTCATTTAATGTAACAGATACCATTTCACCATTGCCTACTTTGCTTTGATTTTGCAGATTGTGGATGATATTTTCTGGTATTTTATTCCAGATGATGATTTGTTAAAATCCAACCCTTTCCTTCAATTACTTGCTCTTAATTTCTAATGTGATGTTAGAGAAACATCTTAGTCTACGCTAAAGGAATTGGATTTGATTAGTTATCTGCTTGAGTCCTCCAGTTACCAACTGAATGTGATCACATTTGTAGCTTTTGTCATTTGCTGGAGGAGGAAGTGAAACAGTTGTGCTTTTACTATGAAAATATTTACAGCATTTGTTGCAATAACTATCCTCTGGTTGAAAGGCTATCTAAGCTCGTTGATACTAGAACTTGATAAATAGAGTCAAATACTCCTGGGGACTAGCAGAGAGAAAAAGGACTGCCTCTTGCTTTGTGTTTTTTGGGGTCTGGAAATTTATGATGTTTATGATCAACTATGACAAGTGTACGTATTTCCTCTCTGCCTCTGGATTCCTCTTGACATCTGCAGTGAATGTTGATTATACGCTTTAGGCAATGCTCATTACTGTAATGAATGCAAACTTCATCGCTATAAATTAGCACATACACAGCTCATATTTCCAACTCATTTTTCATCAAATCAAGAGTAATATCTCCTTTTTCAAGATGTGGCACAAAATGTTCTTGTGAGACTCGGATGTATAATACTTATGGTCTTAGTAGAGAATCCTGATTAATCCCTAGACAGTGATATTTCATCCTGGGTTATCTAAGTAGCCCTTAAACATCTTGAGCTGCCTAGTCCATATACTCGAGAAGTTTAAGGGAGATAGGAGCAGGGCAGATGTGAAGCTGAGGCTCTAGGTGCCAACAGGAACCACACCTCATGACTGGTTACCAAACAGAAGATGAATGAGGTCCACGAATGGAGATGGCAGCCTTTTTCGTTTTCTTTCATTTACACTTGTAAATGTTGACCTCGCAATTAGAGATAGCAGCTATAATCCAAGTCAGACCTTTTTTCCTTGATTTCCCCAAAACAATGCTCTAAAAAAGCAGTCTAACCTGAAGAGCCTCAACGTGTTGTAGCAGCACACCAGGCAGCAGTGTTGGAACGCGATGCCGTGAAATGAGAAAACATTAGCTGTGCACATACACCATCCAGTGGGATGCCATTAGCAAATGCAGACTTTCAAAAGTGCTTTAATAGATAGCTAATGTGCTCCAAGACTTGCTTCTATGCTATCTGCCCTTCATGGATGTGTGATTTATTTTACTTCTAGCTCCTTAAGCACAAAGCTCTTTCCTTATATTTGTTGCAGCCTACCACAAAATCTGATCTGAGCTGTGCATCAGGGCTGTACATAATACATGGGTCTGAGTTAAATTGCCTCTTTTTTTTCTTTCAGAAAAGAGAGATGGCTGGGCCCTCCTGAAATTTTCAATGAGAGGGTTTAAGAAAGCCTACTGGGGGGAAAGTGTTTAGCAGCAGAGCTAACTGCTACATGTTAGAGTCTCCTTGGGCAATTTCCAGTCTGTGATTCCTGGGAAGTGCTTGGCTGAGACAGGTCTGGTTGAGATCTGGGTTAGGTTGGGGTCATGGATATCATGTCAGACATGAATTGCCTAGCCTAAAGTACCTTCTCCAAAAATCAGGAATCTCCCCTAACATGGCTAGCGCCAGCACTCAGGCCCAGGGACTGCTGCATTTTCACTTGTTTTGTTGTTGTTGTTTAATTGATGTGATTGTGACTCATGTGAGTAGATCCATATGTTTCAAGTAATAAAATACATACATCTTCTGTTTTTCTGGTGACTCCTGAGCCACTGATAGAGGGCGAGGGAAGACATTAGTCAGACTTGAAAGAAAAATGAATTTTGCCTTCAGTTATAGAATGAAAACAAAAATTTTGGACATGTATTTCTAACTATAGAGTGGCATAATCTACCAGAATTGCCAAATAACTTCTTTTCTCCTCTCAAGAGTCAGCAGCATGGTGGAAACTGCATCAATCCCCTCATTTTTAAAACCTGCGAGACATTTCCCTGTTTCCTAAAGGGGCTGCCACTCTCACAGCAGGGTGCAGTTGGGCACATGGATGGTCCCAAGATGAGGTTGAGGCCCTGTCCACCTCTTTGGGGTCTGATGTGAGCCAGGCCTCGTGCAGGCCCAGAGTCATGCATGACCCAAAACAAGTAGCACTGGCTGCACCCTCCCCTGCCCCTGGACTTCCAGGAGCAGTGAGCACAGATTTAGTTGGACCCGTGCTTCACAGGGTGCTGAGGACATGGCTCACGGCTCGGGAGGGTGTTTTGGCCGCTGTGAACACGGTGTGATTGCAGGGGTGCAGGCAGCCCCTGGGGCTGGAGTGGCTCTGCCTTTCCAGCAGTGGCTGCCTCTGAGAGGAGGGCTGGGTTAGGGGGTTGTTTGAGGTCTTAGCACTTAATTAAATTTTCCTAGTTTTCAGTCTGTGTATGGGGATGTTTCTTCCTTTATTTTGTGCTTTTACTTCCTTGAAATCATCAATATGGTTATTAATATTTCATCTTCATTGCTGTTTTTGCTGGAAACACAAGGTTTATTTAGGTTCTTGAGTCACTGAGGGAGATGTTTTTGTGACTGTTAAGACATTCTAGATATTTTATTATTTCATTTAGTCTTTCTTTTTCTCCAGTTTAAAAAAGTATAGGAGGATTCACAGAAACATATGCTGCCATTAAAAATTCAGCTCAAATTAGATGACTGTTGCATTTGTTCTTCCTATTAGCTGTATCCTGGCACCAGAACTCAGCTGTGGTTGTATCCCTGATGCCTTTGGTTAAAAACTTGGCTTCATTACTTATATTTTATGTATCTCACTTTGGTTTTATATCTAGCTGAGTTTTCATCTCCCAAATCTCTGATGCCTTGTATGTAATCTAATGGTGGAAACATGCTCAGAAAAGGTTAATTTTGCATTTTGATTCCCTTTCTCCTTTTGCTCGCTCTTTTCCACCTGTGTTTCAGCACAGCTCTGTGAGGCTGACACTCGCTGCTGCCTGTCATGCTGAGGCATGGGTTGGTCCCCGGGGAGGCACCGTCCCTGTCCCTGTGTGGCTGCCCTGGGGTTGTGCTGAGGACAGAAATACCTGCATCTCGGAGCTGCTGTTGTGAGATGCAAGCATATACAGTGAGGTGCAATATTGCGCTGTATTTTGCATCAGCCAGCGAAGATTATCTATTCAGCATCTTTGCTCAGGGACTCCAGTGAATTGCCATTTGTTTTGGGAATCCTTTCCTCTCTCCTTTCTTGGCTGTTCTGAGCTTTTCCAGACCAGCCATTTTGCGGATTATCTGGATGCCGTATGAGGCCAGGCCTTCACTGGTGGCTCTCTGGGCCATCAGCAGCACTCTCAGCCCCCAGGCAGGATATGGGTGCTGCTGCTGCCATCACAGAAAAGGGCCCCATTGCAAACCCACTTGTAAATGGTGACACTGGGGAGCTGGTTTCTTCATTTGCAAGCACCAGCTCTGGGGCTGTGTGAGCCCAGTGGATGCTTCCCTGCCTCTGATGCGGGCGACTGCTGCTGCTCAGGGGTTTACACCACTCCGTGGTCTGTGCCTGCCCACAGCTCTCCCTGCTTGGGGAGCATTTGTCTCTTACTCCCTGTGTGAGTGCACTTGTCGTAGATCTTCAATATAGACTTCAGCAACATACAGACCTATTGAAGTTTCTGTGGCAAATGGTAATTACTGCATTCCTAAAGGAACTGTAAGTGTAAAGTAGAGGTAATTACTCAGCTGAGAAAGTGTAAATTAAGTACTTGCACCAAGGGAAGGGATGAGATTGATGTAAACTGTTCTCTTTATACATTCTCTCTCCAAACATTGATCTTATCCTGTCCCTTGCTGCAAGAACAGCAAACAGAGAGAGTTTTATTTTCTGTATTTCCTATTTTCTCATCCTAAAAATGCCCAGAACAGGGGAGGGCTGAATAAAACATCTTTAAAGATCTTACTGTCGGGTTTTGTTCTGATTATCCCACTTTTTTCTATTTCCCTATGCTCTGCCAGTAGAGTGCTATTTCTTGGATAAACGTAACTCAGGTAGCAAATGGCCTCATTGTGAAGGTTTTAGGATTTGCATTCTGCTTTGGGCAGGCTGAATAGCAATTTGTGTCTAGCTGGAACCATTGTGTTTGAGAATGGAGGTATTTTTCCACTTACAAAAATCACCAGTTGTGGATGAGTTTATCATGGTCATTTTTTAGAGATAAGGATAATTGCTCTCCAACTGAAGTAAATAGCACTTAGTAAATATTTGTGAGCCAAGATCAATGGATGTGAGAGTGGCATCTATTGCATGTGAATCCTGATCAGGCAGGAGGTACTGGGAGGCTCCTGTGTAACTTCTAAGGATGCAGTTGAGATTTCAATGAACCCAACTACTGCACATGTGCTGATACTGAGGCTCATGAAGCAAGATGATCTTGAATTTCTGAACTGAGGACAAACAGGAAACAAGATCCTTAAAGCAGACCTGCAGTCGGGGTTTCTGAGGCATTCCCTGAGCACACCGACCCTCCGTCCCTCCTGCTGCCACCATAAAATGCACTGGAGATGGGAGAATGCTATGGAGGTTGCTTCAGAAACACAAACTCTATTTGCAGTTACTTTGTACTTTTTGGTATCAGGTGAAGTGTTCTTTCACATTTACTTGAATTACCTCAGGCTTAATCCTATGTTGCCTGCTTTGTCTCAGTTCTATCTGCAACAGGAAGAAATCAACTTTGAGCCCTCAGACTAGGATAGATGAGGAATAAAAAGAAACCTCAGGAGAGTGGGGTGTGGGGAGAAAA